CCACCCGGGGGCCCCCGCCCGGCCAGTGGGGGCGCGGCGACCGGGCCGGCTCCCAACGGCGCGAGGGGGGAGGAAGTGTCAGTTTGTGAACCTGCCGCGGCCCGGGGCCCAGGCCCCGCGGGCGGGGACTTCGCAGCGCCTGGGAGCCAGGTGGCAGGGAGAAGGCAGGGATTCAGAGCGCTGACCCTGCCCAATGCCTGCGCTGCCCTGCTGTCCAGAAAAGGGCAGAATGGCCTGCCGTCCAGAAAAGGGCAGAATGGGTGTGTGGGGTGGAGGGGAACGTGGCCACACTATCGTCTGGGGGGCCAAGACCCCAACAGTGCCCTGCCTGCCCCATGGCCCCTGACATGCGCACGCATGTATTTCATTTCATATACACACTGACATACTGCTGCAGACATCATCAAGCCCAATCTCACGGGAGTGCACATGCACTCACACAGAAAAACACACAGAATTCTCTCCCTGTCTATAAATAATTGTAACACCAGGTGCCGGTGCCATGGCCGGGGGGAGGGGACCAGAGTAGGAGGTGCAAGGCTGTGTTTTGGCTCAGCAGGGAGTGTGTGGAAGGGCACTGAGCCAGGTGAGCCCAGAGAGGGGAGGAAGGGGCCTTGGGGAAGGCTTTCAATGCCAGCAGAAGACATGGGGGAGCCACAGAAGGTTTCTGGAAGGGAGCCTAAGAAAGGGAATTGGGGGCCCTGGGGAAGAGTCTGGTAGGAGACAGGAAAGCAGGGAGTGACCTGCACTGGGCGCTGGTGTCTCATTCCCCTTCCTAGTACCCAGCAGAAGTGAGCCTTCCGAACCAGTTACCGAATGAATGAATGAATGAATGGCCCAAGCAAAAGAGGCCTGAACCAAAATGGGCTTGGAAGAGAGGGGCCAGATGCCAGAATTCACTAGGCTTGAAGTTGGCCGACTGTGGCAATTCACTGGTTGGAGAAGTCTAAAGATGCTCGGGTTCTGGGGACCATCAGTGGTACCATTAGCAGAAAGAAGAGAGCATTGGGGCAGTGGCACATGTCGTAGGATGGTGAGAGAGACAGGTGTGCAGAGAGTGACCAGCAGTGACTTCACTGTGTGGAGCACATTTGCATCTGAGTAGAAGCATAGTGAGTTTAAATGTCCCAGAATTGGTTTTCATTAAATCACCTCATAATTGAGAACAGAAAGGGGGATTACAAAAGACACAGGTGGCCAGTCTATACCGGGTCACAAGCCAGCTAGGAATTTTCCTTCCTAGGTGACTTTCCTTGGGCCAGATCTCAGGGCAGGGGCAGAGAGGGGGGAGAGTGAAAACTTTCCGCTGCTCCCCTGGAGAAGACCCTCCACTCAGATAGCCCGTTTGCTTAAGGGAGAGAGCTTCAGGGTCTTAAGCCTGGGATTCAGGCCCCCTGGGTGCGGAGACCACTCTGTGGATGGTTGAGGGGTTCGTTGTCTTTAGAAAGCAGCATGGTATGGGTGGGAAAGAGAGGTGGGGTTTAGAATCAGCCCACCTGGTTATGAATCTCAGCTCTGCCTCTGCCCCACTGGCCACTTTCCCTTGCCAAGCCTCAGTTTCTGTGTATAATGGGAGTAATAATGTCTCCCTCGCAGGGTTGTCATGAGGCTCCAGTGAGATAATAGAAGTGCCTGGCACATAGCCCGGGTTTCGTAAGTGGTAGTCTCCTTCCTTCCCCGGATGGACTTCTGGAGCAGGGGAGTGAGGAGTAAAAACCCTGTTCTCTTTCTCTTCCAGTGTCAGGGGAAGCTGATGGAGAATCGCGCTCTGGACCCAGGCGCTCGGGACTCCTATGGTGCCACCAGCCACCTCCCCAACAAGGGGGCTCTGGCAAAAGCCAAGAACAACTTCAAAGACCTGATGTCCAAGCTGACGGAGGGCCAGTATGTGCTGTGCCGCTGGACGGATGGACTGTATTACCTCGGGAAGATCAAGAGGGTAAACCTTTCCTCCCGGGCCCCAGTTCCGAGGCTCAGCCTCTCTGCTCATCCTCTGGCCTAGGCCTCCCTTCATCCCCCTCATCCTCCAAAGATGAACATGGAAGGAGCCAGAGTCTGCTCTTGCAGGTGCCGTCCTTAGGGCCAACATCATCCAACCAGGTCTTTAGAAAAGAGCTCTGCTATCCTACAGAACAAAACAAAGGCAGGTTGGAGAGGATCTCAGATGACCACCTGGCCTGTGCTGTCCTCAGCATTTCCACCAAGTTGTGGTCCCCTGGCCCCTGACCGTGCGGCTCCAGGGACTGGGCGCGCACTACCAGGAACTGCTGTCCTCCTTCCCCTTCCAGCCCAGCTCTGCTTTCTGGAGCGCAAGGAGTGGGTGTAATCTCTCTGTCCTGCAGGGGCAGAAATGGGAGAGGAAGACCACGTCCCAGTGGCTTTTCCCCAGCCACTTTCTCACGTTACCCCTCCCTCTCCGTGCCCCAGGTCAGTAGTTCTAAGCAGAGCTGCCTGGTGACTTTTGAAGATAATTCCAAATACTGGGTCCTGTGGAAGGACATACAGCATGGTGAGTACTCCTAAGAGCTTGGGCCCCCTGCCCCGTCCCTGGCCCTCTCTCCTCCTCCACTTCCGTTTTGTCCTCCTGTCCTTCTCTCTTGCACTCCTGGCACCTGGCCTTGTCTCCCCACTCCCCACCAAGCCCACCTGAGAAGACGGTAAGGTGGCTGGTTGTGTTTTTACACGGAAAAGGGCTTCTGACATCTGTCATGCCCTTGATTACTCCCATGTCTCCCCTGTCACAAGGGAGGCAGGAAAGGCGGAGAAGGTGGTTCGGGAAGGTGCCGGGAGAACTGGGATGGGTCTCAGGCCCGTGTCTGCTTTCTTGCTGTGCTTCACCCCCTGCTGCACGAAGCTGTGGGTCAGTCTGGGGCTAGGAACGGGGAGGGGTCCAGGCAATCCAGACAGGCACCTCTAGACGTGAGCACAGTGTGCTGTACCCCCGTGTGAGGAAACCGAGCGGAGGCAGCTCTAGCCTCGGTGGAAAGCCAGGAGAGCAGAGACGGACCGGGCAGGGTGAAGATGATCATGCCTACGCGGGGCTGGACCAGCTTCGGGGGCGAAAGGGAGCTGGGCTGGGTGCCACCCCTGCACTTGGAGAGCTGACATCTTCCTGTCTTGCCACCGCTATCCCTTCCCACGGACACGACAGACCTCGCTAAGCAGTCACGGCACTCTCATATTTCCAACGTGGAGCTCCAAGCGGAGGCTTAGTAGACCTCGGACCAAGGTTTAGCTCGCTGCTGGCTAGCTGTGTGTCGTTGGGCAAGTGACGACACCTCTCTGAGCCTGTTTCTTCATCTGAACAATAAGGAGATGATGAAAATACTGGACTCCCAGGGTGGTTAAGTGAGACTCCACGTAGAACTCTTAGCCCAGTGCTCCGGAGTTACAGGGAGGCAGTCTCTAAAGAATTTGTTACTGTAAGAAATGATCTCAAGGAGCCTGCCAAGTAGAGGCCGCAGAACCCAGCCAGTTTGTAGAGATTCCAAACTGCCCTTTTCTCTAAGATGTTGTGGCTAATGTAGACTTGGAGGTTCTTCTCCAAGCTCCCCTCACCCTCAATTTATAATACAGAGATTCAAAGCAATGAGGAGCTCTTCTCCCAAGTTACCCTCTTATTGAAGACCCAGAAAGCCAACAGGTGAGAAAGACCCCTCAGCAGACATTGAGTAGAAGGTCCTGCACGTGCCAGGGACCACACGTGTGCCACCGCCCCTGGGGAACAGCTTGTCTCCCCCTCCAGACGACTGTGCCTCACCGGCAGGATGGGGCCCTGTCCTTGGCTGTGCCCAAGATGAGAGCACAAGGCTGAGCAAGCCGTAGTTATCGATTACTTAAGCTTGTTGCTTTATTGGTTTATATCAGTGGCTTTACTTCCTGAAGCCAGTGCGGGCTTAGTGCAGCCCCTGCCTGGGGGCATATTGTGGGATAAGAGGCAAGAGACTGCGTGTTCATGTTCAACAAACATGTCTTGACCACGTGTTATGTGCCACACACTTTATGAGGTCCTGGGGATATCGTGAGGAGCAGCTACCATTTCTGCCCTTAACAAAACTTTTAGTTGGCTGGGGGGAACCAGACAGAAACATGTTTCAAAATGTATTAATTTATTCACGCAAACCTTTCACACATAAATACACTTATTCTTCAACAATAACCACCCCTCCCCCGCAAAAAAAAAGCAGAGAAAAAAAGAGATGAGAAAGAACTTGTAGATTAGAAGCAGTTGAACACATTTGTGGGGCACCTGGGTGGTCAGTCAGTTAAGCATCCGACTTCAGCTCAGGTCACGATCTCAGTTTGTGGGTTCGAGCCCTGCTTCGGGCTCTGTGCTGACAGTTCTGTGCAGGTTTAGATTCTGGGTCTCCCTCTCTCTCCACCCCTCCCCTGCTTGTGCTCTGTCGCTCAAAAATAAATAAATGTTAAAAAAAAAAAAGGTTAATAAAAAAAGCAGTTGAACATACTTGAACTTACTATATTTTTATATAAGAGACCATTGGAAATGTGAATAGTCACCAAATTTGTTGGTGATAGTAAGAAACCGTTTTTAATTTTTAGGTGCAATAAAGGCACTGTAGTTATGTTTTTGTTTTTTAAAAGAACATCCTAATCTTTCAGAGATACATACTGAAATATTTTCAGAAAATGATTAGGTATCTGGGAAGTGATTCAGAGTAATACAGGAGGAGAAAGTGGGTGGGAATATAGGCAAAACAAGACTGGCTATGAGTTCTTAATTATTGGTAAGAACATGGAGTTTCATTAGAACATTCTATTATTATTAACATAAAATTTTGTTTAACAAACAAGCTAAATTAGGCAGGAGAGGCAGCGTGATATGGTCAGAAAGAACAAAGGAGTTGACGTTAAAGAGCCATGGGTTTGAATCCGACCTCTCCTACTTAACTTCTGGGACTTCTCAGAGCCTCAATTTCCCCACCTTTAGAATGGGCTAATGATAATAGGTACCTCAGAGTAGTTGAGATTCAGTGAGTTGGCCCATGGGGCCCAGCGCCACGTCCAGTAGAGGCTCAGGAACTGGAGGGTGATTTTTTTAAACTCTTCTAAGTCCTGCTAGTGAGCAGAACCTGACCCCGAGGGCCTCCCTCTCTCCCTTTCAGCTGGCGTTCCAGGGGAGGAGCCCAAGTGCAACATCTGCCTGGGGAAGACCTCAGGGCCGCTGAATGAGATCCTCATCTGTGGGAAGTGTGGCTTGGGTGAGTGTGGTGAGCAGGGCACATGGGAGGCCCCCACCCGCACTGGCCCCAAATGGCATATGCCTCGCTACTGGGATCTTAGCCGGCTTCCCGTTTCTCTTGGAGCTCCAGAGTGACAGGGGGCCAGTCCATGGGAATGAGGGCCCAGGGAAGTGACCCCTGGGGAGAGCTGGGGCTCCAGGAAAGTGAGACAAGGTATGCAGTTTGGAGCTCCCCCTAACCCAGTAGAGAGGAGGGTGGAGAGATGGGGCACAAAGGCTTAAGCCAGGTTGTCGTGCCTCCCCTACTGGGTCCCAGGCTGTCTTTTAGTCGCCTGCTTGGACGCCAACTTGGCTGCCTTGGTGAGCGTCGCCTGCCAGTGCCCTGGCAGCTGGTAGGCACCCGGCTCCTCCTAGCTGCTGCCACCCTCCCCAGCCCTGTGGCCTTTGGGCTGCCTGGCTTGGGGTCAGTGCTTCCCTGTGGGCGCTCAGCAGCCCCCTCTCTTCCTCAGGTTACCACCAGCAGTGCCACATCCCTATAGCAGGCAGTGCCGACCGGCCCCTGCTCACACCTTGGTTCTGCCGACGCTGCATCTTCGCCCTGGCTGTGCGGGTGAGCCCTCCCCCCTTGCAGCCCCTGCCTTTCCCCACGCCAGTCTGGGAGCCTGGACTCCCTGGGCTCCCACCTGACAGCAGGTCACAGAGCCTGCACTTTGGAGGCAGACAGCCCTCCTGCCACTGACCAGGGAGCGGTACGTCCTTGGCAGGGTTCCTTAGCCTCCCCAAGCCTGTTTCCTCAATGGTAAAATGGATATGGGTTGGTGCCAGGGGTAGGTGGCCCCCAATAAATGGTGCTCTACTATCAAAAGACAAAATCCATGTAAGCAGCCACCCTCAGTACCTATTGGTTATTATTGTCACCTTTCTTGCAGCGTGCGACTACTAATACTGTTGTTAATAGAGATCTTTCTGGGATGGAGAGAGCATAGATTTGGGATCGATAAGAAAAAGCTTCTTGCGTTTCTGACAACGTTGGAATAATTGCGGGTCCCCGAGTCAGCGTTTCCCCCGTGCTGGCCGCACGCAGACCTGTGTGGCTGCGCCCCCCACCCCCCACCCGGACCCCGCCGCTGAGCCGGACCCTCATCTCCCCGCAGAAAGGCGGCGCGCTGAAGAAGGGCGCCATCGCCAGGACGCTGCAGGCCGTGAAGATGGTGCTGTCCTACCAGCCGGAAGAGCTCGAGTGGGACTCGCCCCACCGCACCAACCAGCAGCAGTGCTACTGCTACTGCGGCGGGCCCGGAGAGTAAGGCCGCGGGGGCGGGGCCTCCGGGGGCGGGGAGGTGGGCGGGGGCTCCGCGGAGGGGCGGGGCCCGAGGGAGCGAGGCTGGAGCTCAGGCTGTGTGGCTCCAGGAAGGGAAGGAAGTGTGGAAGCGCGGCTAAGAGCCTAGCCCCAAGTGTCCAGATCCTCCCAGCCCCTTGGGGCTGTGTGCAGCTCCTGAGTGCAGTCCTCATCGCAGTTTTCCCGCTATACGGTGTGGTGGACAGGGTGCAATTAGATCAATTCACATAAAGGCTCATGCAGTGCCTGTTACTTGGAAGGCACTTAATAAATGTTAGCTGTTACTGCTGGTGCATGGAATTGAAGGTAAACCTTGCTCTTGTCCGAGCCAATGAAACAGGCTGCCGGTGAGGCATTAAAGTACTTTGGCCTGGAAGTGTGCAAGCAGGGGTAGGGGGTCATATGTCAGGGATGCTGTGGACGGGATTCTTGCCCTGACTATAGGACAGGAGTCTTTGATTGATTCTTCCTTGCCAGCCTGGGCCTCCCTGTAGCCATGGGGGGTTGAGCCTGCTCTCTTGGCCTGACTGCACCAGACCTTGTGGCAGGAACCACAGAAGTGACAGATGGGGACTCTGCCCTCAGGACATATCCGTATGGGATGCCCTAAAGTCCTGAATCTTAGCCCCTAGCTCTGTTGACAACCAGTAGGTATCTGAAGGCTGGGTTTATCCAGCCTAGCAGGCCAAGGGATTAATTACCTTGGCCCCATCAACTTCCCTGGGTGTGGGGAGGTCTATAGGATAACAGAGGAAGAAATGCTTATAGAGACCTTAACAGAATTGAGGCAGTGGTTCTTAGTGCATCTCCCGCCCCCCTCCCCCCCCCCCCGCCCCCGCAAAAGATTGAGTAGGTCTGGAGTGGGCCAAGGAATCCTCGTATTTTAACCTGGACCCCAGGTGATTCTGATGTTCACGGTCCATGGACCGCACCTGACAAGTTATGAATGAAGCATCGGTTGTCAGTGAGGAAATACCACTTTGCTCTTTGTTCATATTCAGTGCATAGTTGTTGAATGGCCATGACAGGGTAGATACAGTACTGGGTGAGAAAAACCAGACATGGTGCTGCCCATGGAGCTTACAGGAGCCATTATATTCTTGCCAAGTCTCTAGGGCAGACCTTCCCATTGCGGTAGTTTTTGAGAAGCTGTGTGTGGGGCCCAGTCCAGAGATGGGGACTCCGACTGTGTCATGAGGAGGGCAGGCTTTGAAGTTAGGGAGGCCAGGGTTTGAATCACCATCCACCATTTGCTTCCTGAGTGACCTTGAGCAAGCCATTTAAGCTCGGAGTCTATAAAATTAGGGCAGTGGCCCATCTTTTACCAGAGGGTGAGATCAAACAATATAGCATATGCCTGCTCCCTGGACCTCCCCCTGGCCCAGCCTAAGTGCTCGGTAACTGTGAGTTCTCTTCCTTTTCCCCCGGTGGAGTGCAAGTTTGTGTTGGGAGAGGTTGCGGAGGCTGATGCCTGGCTAGCAGTGTGGGCCTGGCTGACCCTGGCTCCTCTGGCTCTCCAGATGGTACCTGCGGATGCTGCAGTGTTACCGGTGCAGGCAGTGGTTCCACGAGGCCTGCACCCAGTGCCTCAATGAGCCCATGATGTTCGGAGACCGGTAGGTGCTAATCTGATCCACTTCAGCCTTGAGGGGACAGGGGACAGCGGTGGCGGTGGCTCTTTCAGACTGCCTGCCAGGCCCTACGCAGGTGGGGGTCTGTGAGGTGGGCGCCTGTCCATGGGAGGCAGCTCAGGGTGAGGGAGGCCTTCTCAGTAGAGGGCTGTGCCGGACCACAGCCCCAGTTGCCATTGACTTGTCGGGGACCTTAGACAAAGCCCCACCTCCCGAAGCCCCAGTCCCTTCCTGAGTCTGGGCGGAGGGGGAGGGATGCAGGAGGCCCTGCCTCACCCCTACCCAGGCTACTAGAGGAGCCACTGGGAGCTGGATGATTGATCTGGCTTCTAATGAATGGGGCTAAGCTAACAGAAGGCTTCTGTGTGTCACACCAGATATTGCGTGTCTTGGTTGGTGTGTCAGGATTGTGATTGCGTGTGTGTGCACGTGGGTGTGTGTGTGTGTCTCAGAGGGGAAGAGGGTGCCCACTGCAGCCCAGCCTAGCTCAGCTGGCTCTGAACTCAGCCACACTCTGGGATAACGGCGTTTGGGAAAGAGTTTGGCATAGGGGAAGGTCGGGAAGTATTGTGTGGTCTGTGTCCTGCCCCGTCCTAGCCGCTGCCTCCTGCAGGGACCACTAGTCGTTGGAACGAGGACAGCACTCACTGTGGGAAGGCCGGTGGGGAGCAAGGGTGGGCGAGGGCTGGGCTAGGGTGGGGTGTCAGCCCCTGCCACCACAGGCCTCTCTCCACCTTCCTCCAGGTTCTACCTGTTCTTCTGCTCCGTGTGTAACCAGGGCCCGGAGTACATCGAGCGGCTGCCCCTGCGATGGTGAGACGGGGGGGCTCGCTCGGCCAGGCCCACCCCTGTCCCCTCCCAGCTGCTCCGCTCCCACCTCCCTCCGGGAACAATTCCATTTCCAGCCACCAGGTCCCAGCCTTGCCCCTGCCCTTCAGCCTGGGCCCCGGAGGCTCCAGCCCGGGCTGGGCAGGCTGCCGCCTCACCCCAGCCCCACCTACTCACCCCCTTGCCCAGGGTGGATGTGGTTCACCTGGCCCTCTACAACCTGGGGGTGCAGAGCAAGAAGAAGTACTTTGACTTTGAGGAGATTCTGGCCTTTGTCAACCACCACTGGGAGCTCCTGCAGCTTGGCAAGGTATGCAGGGCCACGGGAAGGCAGAACGGCCAGAGTTCATTCCGCAGTGGGCTTACCGAGGTCCAGAGAGGTGAGAGGTTTGCCCAGGGTCACACAGTGCAGGACTGGTGTCGGGGTCTCTTGAGGACTCACCCTTCGGCAGCACCACCTGCCTGCAAGGGCTGTTGGCTGGGAGAAAGACCTAGAGCCTTGCAGCTGCCACATCCCCTGGTCCAAGCCTCTGAGCCCTTGCCCTGCGAGGGGCTTCCTTGACCCGGGTTTTGGCAGCGGGCGGATTGGGGCCACCCTGACTCAGCAGCAGGGGGCCGGGGGTGGATCTGGCTGCAACAGGGCTCCCTACAGAGATGTTGGACCTGCTCCAGATTACCTGGCTGCAGTGGAAATTGAAGTGGGCCTGCCCTCTGCTGATCTTACTCTGAATAGCAGAAGTGGTCAGCGGGAGCCTGCGAGCCTGGGAGCTGGGCAGTAAAGTAACAAACCACAGACTTTCAGGAGGTCAGAGGTGGCCAGCACAGCTTTGGAGCTGAGCCAGGATTGGAGCCAGGGCATCCCAACCTCTCTCATGGTGGGGCCATGCCCGTTTTTCCCTCACAGCAGCCTTAAGAATCCTCTCTACCACTCCAGAGTGGGGCATATTCTCTACTGACTGCCAGAAATCTTTCTTTGATGAGACAGGAATTTACCAAAAACAATTTTTTTAAAAAGGATGACCCTTTATGCTTTGCAAAAGCTTTTCATATAACAACATCTTCATTTATGGTGTTTGATGATTTATAAAAGCCATACGTGTGGTAAAGCCTTAAAAGACAGATAGAGCTGGTGTTTTTAATAACTTTTTTCCTGATATATAAAAAGAACATACATGTTCCTGATAGAAAAATTGTTAAACGCCAAAAAGCATAAGGAAGTAGACTTTAAAACGTCACCTACCCAGCACACCACACAGAAACAACTGCTACTAATGTATTCCATCCTTTCTTCTGTGTCTGTTTTTCCTTTTTCCTTGGCTTAGGTTATACAGTAAGTAAAATTTTAAATCATCTTTTTTTTTCAATTCATATTATATCATAAATACGTTTCCATATTCCAGAAAGAGTTTTCAGCAACATTTTTAATGGTTTCCTTGGTTTCTAGCATGGTTTACTTAGTGCTTTCCTTCCTGTTGGGCAGGTAGTTTCTTGCCCACGTTTCATATTTGCCCGTCATTAGGAACGACGCTGCAGTGACCATTTTTGTACTTAAAGCTTTGTGTTTCACGTTAGATCTCTGTGATAGATCCCACGGCGTGGCATTACTGGGTCAAGGGCATGGGCATTTTTAAAGCTCCTGATACATCTAGGATGGGAGTTACTCTCCCCATTTCCAGAGGGAGAAGTGAGCTCAGAGGTGAAAAGATTTGGAATCCTGGAGGAAGTCAGGGTCCTCACCCGGAGATTGCAGGGAGGGGACAGGGGCCCCCATGTGCCTGGGTCTGACTATCCTGCTGGCTGCTCTCCCTCAGCTCACCAGCACCCCCGTGACGGACCGAGGACCGCATCTCCTCAATGCGCTCAACAGTTACAAAAGCCGGTGCGTGCTGGGAAGGGAGCGCGTGCATGGGCCCTCCCCCCCCTCCCCCCAACAGGTGGGATTGGGTGTAAAGCATCTTCCGGCCTCGTGGTCTTTGCTCAGCCTGTGCTCCAGCCTGGGTGTCCTGCCCCTTCTCTTTGACTAGATGAGTCCTACCCATTCTTCAAGATCCAGGGAGCACTCCACCTCCTTTGTGATGCCTCCCCTGAGCACTCCAGTGACCTGATGCATTTTGGCCCTGGGCTCGGCTCCACAGGGGGTACACCCCTGATCTCTGAGGGCCCGTCCTGCTCTGGCCATCTGTGGTTCTGGGCCAGGCACTGAAGGTTCCATTCATCGTCTCTTGGGTGGGCCACAGCCTCCTAGCTTGTCCCCAGCACCATGTTTTCCCCTCCAGACTTCTGACTCCTCAGAACCTACATCTGGCACATCCCTTGCTACTCCTGCACAGAATGCCCAGGCTCCTGAGCACGGCATTCAAGGCCTCTTATGATGAGACTCTGCCCACTCCTTCTGCCACTGATTCTTTGCTTTATTCTGGGTGTCAGCCATTCTGAATGCACTGCTCTCCCACTCAGTGCTTTTGCTCAGATCCCTCTGTTTGACTAGGATGCTCTTCCATCCATTTCACTCATTTGTTCCGTGAACAGCTTTATGTTTTTTAAACGTTTATTTGTTTTCGAGAGAGGGAGAGAGGGAGAGAAGGAGGGGCAGAGAAAGAGGGAGAGAGAGAACCCCAAGCAGCCTCCACACTCAGCACAGAGCCCTACTCAGGGCTCGAACTCATGAACCGTGAGATGACAACCTGAGCCGAAACCAAGAGTTGGACCCTTAACCGACTGAGCCCCCCAGCCGCCCCCAGGAACAACTGTTTATTGAACTGCTACTCTGCGTCAGCCCTTTGTGGATGCTGAGGACACAGGGAGGAATAGGACATGGTCCCTGCTTCTGTGAAACCTCTCCAGACATCGCTAGACAGAATTAGCCACTCTATTTTCCTTCTGCCTTCTCACTATTCTTGAGTAGTGGGGCTTCCTGCCCTCCCTGTAGATAGTCTCTTGAGGGGGAGGACTGTCTGAGTCACCTCTTCACCTCATGGCAGCTCGGCTAGTGTTGGAAGGATGAGGGAAGTACCTGGAGGTGTTTCCAGTCTCCCTGGGGAGACCAGAGAACAGAATGGTGCAGGATCCAGTGTCTTGGCCATAGCAGTTCCACTGAAAGCTGGAACTTCCGATAGAAGGTGACCTTGGGGCTGGCTGAGGGAGAGGAGGAGCAGCAGGAACCACAGACATGCAAGAGGAAGGATGGGGGGGACCACCAGCCACATCCCCAGCCACCACCTGGGACCCCTGGTCCCATAGGCCTTGAGGAATCAGCATCTCCATGGGCAACTCTGGATTTCAGTTCTGGGTCCAGGGAGACAGAGAGTAATTTTAATGCTTGACTCTCCTCCCCAGGAGGATGGACCGACAGACTCCAGAGCTTTCTCCTCCCCCTGTCCACCCCCTCCCCCCAGGTTCCTCTGTGGCAAGGAGATCAAGAAGAAGAAATGCATCTTCCGCCTGCGCATCCGGGTCCCGCCCAACCCTCCAGGGAAGCTGCTGCCCGACAAGGGCCTGGTGCCCACTGAGAGTGTGGCCTCCTCTGAGCTGCGTAAGAGAGGAAAGAGCAAGCCTGGGTCAGTGCCTGGGGACCGAGCTCGGGGTCTCCGCTGCTCCCGGCTCCAGCCCCAGCCTATGTGCTGTGCGGTGGGCCCAGAGACCACAGTGACATCCAAGCGAGCAGGGAAGAACTCCACCTGGTTAGGCCCAGCTGGAGGCACCCTGAGAGGGCCAGTCAGCGGCTGGACTTGATCCCCCATCTGGGATTTCTTCCACCGCGGCCCCTATTGCCTTGCTTGGAGGGAAAGGCAGATCGTGAGGCCCCGTCTTGCCGGGTTAGAGCTGAGGCAGAGAGGGAAGAGGAAGCGAGAGTGTGTACGGGGTCCCTAGCTCTCCTGGCCAAGCTGAGCCCCTCATCCTGGGCGCCCAGGGCAGAACATCCTTCCCTCTTTTCTGCCCACCACACCCCCCTCCGCACCCTCCTACACCTGCTGCCTGGAGGATGTGCCCTCCCCAGACAGCCCTGTGAAGGAGCGCCTGTCCCTACCCGCCCTGCTGTGACCCCAGCCCTGCCTCTCCTTCCTCCGGGCCTTCAGGCTCTGACCCAGCCACCCTCTCCCCTTTCTGTCTCCACAGTTTGTTGCCTCACGAATTCCAGCAGCAGAAAAGGCGAGTTTATAGAAGAAAAAGATCAAAGTTTTTGCTGGAAGATGCTATTCCCAGTGTTAGTTTCTTGTTTTCTTGCTCTCCACGTTCACACACACGGTCAGCACATTAATTAGGGATTCCTCTGCAGGAAACTAAGCACCCCAGGCCCCAGGGACTCTCCCACATCCCTTAAAGGAAAAGCCAGTTCCTTCTGCAGCAAAACAAGCAAAAAACCAGGCACTTTGAGACCACCGCTTTCTCTCCCTACACTCTCCCACGACTGCTTTCTCTCCCCAAACTCTCCTGAGAAGCCAAAGGGGGCGGGGCAGGGTAGGTAATATCCTCACCTCCACAGTCCAGTGGGGACACTGAGTGCCAGGGAGGGACAGTGACTTTCCTGAGGTCACACCTCAGCCAGTGGCAGAGCCCAGCCTAGACCCAGGGCTCCGGAGCAGTCTTTCCTTGGCCCCGCATCCTTGCTGCAGCCCTCCCTGGAGGACGAATGCTAGCGATGCTCACACCTCCCTGTCACCTGACAGCGAGCAAGTTGCTTTTACAGCCAACATCTCATTCTTCTGTGCTTCCCAACACCTCTACCAGGGAAGCACGGCAGGTGTCGCTGGCCACCTTTTGCGGTTCAGGTAACTGTGGCCCAGAGTTGGGAAGGCCATGTGCTCAGCTAGGGACAGGGCTAGAAACGGTCTGATGTGGCTCCCTGGTCAGACAGAATAAAGAGCGAGTGACGAGTCTAACCCCCGGGAGGCCCAGCCCTCAGAAACCCTGTGTGGCCCTCAGCAGAGAGGGTGCTGTGGGGGGCGGGTCTGATGCTCACTGACCCATCTTCCTGCTCCTTCCTGTGTCCACAGAGTGACTTTACCTCAGCCTGGAGCACCAACCACCACCTGGCCAGCATATTTGACTTCTCGCTGGACGAAATTCAGAGTTTAAAAAGGTACCAACGAGGGACCCGGCAGAGAGGGCTGTTCTGGAGCGTGGGGTAGAGGCAAGCAGTGAGACCTCCATTCCCTGGCAATGAAGGAAGGCTCTGGAAGGGGCAAATGAGAGAGCCTTTTGAGGGAGTGGAAGGTCCCTTGGGTCATTCTAGTTAAAAGGGTCCATGCTGCATGAGGCCTACTGACTAGGCTGCCTGACGGGTCTTCCCATGATAGAACTTTCAGCACGACATCCTCCTGCTGTAGGTGTGCGGGGCTCCCAGGGACAGCTCCCCAGAGCAGGGTCAAAGGCCGCCTCGCCTGGGCCCTCCCTACCTGTCCAGCCCCTGTCCTGCTTCTCCCTGCCCTCACACCATATACCAGAATTACTTTGGCCACCCTGCATTCCCGTTCCTCTAGGGAGCCTTCCCTGGCCCTCCCCAGGCTGTGTTGGGTGCTCCTGTCTGTGTATCCCCATAGCTCCTCATGCTCAGTACACCCACGGGGAGGGGACACACAGCCCACTGTTCTGTTTCTGGAAGTGTCAAAGGCCAGCTGGTGCTTCCTGAAGGAGAGGAAGGGCTTCAGTCAGGCCTGGGCTGCGGCCCCTACGTACCAATTACTGACTGCGGCGTCAGGGTCCTCCAGCCTCTCTGCACCTCCCACCTGTTTCCGCGTGGTTGTTAGGAGGCTCGAACGGGTGCTGGAAATGAAAGCCCTTTGGGTCTATATAGCACCCAGGTGGCGGTGGCCAGGCTCCTTAGTGCACCTCTCGCCACGGGGGCGGGTGTGGGGGGAGGCTTCCTCTAGTGTCCCGAGGCTCCTCGGGCTCTGGAGGCCGCTGCGTAGGAGATGGACAGGCCGAGGAGCAGCCCCTGCAGGCACGGTGGTGGGAAGCGCGGTGGAGGGAAGGCGGGCCTTCGCTGGGCCGGGGGAAGGGGGCGGCGCTCAGGGCCGACTGGAGGGTCCCAAGGGGTGCCGAGGGCCGGCGGCAGGCTCACCCTCTCCCCCCTCGCAGCGCCAGCTCGGGCCAGACCTTCTTCTCCGACGTGGACTCCACGGACGCCGCCAGCACTTCCGGTTCGGCTTCCACCAGCCTCTCCTATGACTCCAGGTGAGCTTCCCGCAGGATGGACCCTGTCCGTCGTCCCCCTGCCGCCTCGCCTCCCCCTGGTGCCGTGTGGCCCACTCTGTGTGCTGGGGTGTCAAGCTTGGGGCCCGGGACCATCTGGTTCTGATGTGGGCCTTCAGGTGGCTCTTCATCAGCTGCAGGTTATGTGACACTTGTGGCCGAGCAGTTTCGGTTCTAGGGCTCTACCTGCCATGATTTTGCCTGTCTCTACCCCTGACTACAGGGTCCCCTGCTTCCTGGCTGTCTAAATCTGGTGTCTGTCTTCTGGGTCACTAAGGAAAAGAGCCACTGATTTGGAAGCCTGAGGGAGGGGAAGATGGCATCCTGCAGGGTCTGGGGTCTGGGAGAAGGGACAGAAGTGCCTGGAGACCTAGCCAAGGGTGCAGCCTGTGTGGCAGTAGCTGGTGCTCAGCAGCACGGGAGGCTCCTGTGACTGTATGTGAGGACTCTTGTGCCTTGGCGTCTATCAGAGCATCTCTAGTTGTCGGTCTCCTTTGCTGCCTCTGGATTTGTAGTTATTTCCTCTCGTTTCTTTGGTTCTCACAAGCTCCCCGGGGCTTGGCTTCTAAGCATCTGTGAACACATGCCTCCTCTTCTGTGTTTCCCCACCACCTCTGTCTCTTCGTCTGTGTGTGTGTCGCCCACGTACATCTGTCTGTCTGCAATCCAAGACTCTGGGTACGAGGCCCGTCAGTCCCTCCCTCCCATCCCCCACCCCCTCCGACTCCCCAGGGAAGGGCCTCTGCAGTGCAGGTGC